AGAAAGATAATCAGCAATATTTGACATTACTTACATATTTGTTCTTCGACTTCAGATTCACAAACTCATCGTTTCCTTTGGTATGTGTCTTTTTCAAAAGTTCGTGCGGATGAGGTGGCAGTCCAAGTACAATTGCCTAAAATTGAAATCACATCTATCAAAGTTATTACATCAGTATAACTTTGAAAAAACTATAACTTGACAGAATGAAAATGATTGTACCATTTGTCTTGCATGCTCTCAGTGAGTCCGGGAGCCTCCAGTATGGCGTGAGGGACCAGATCCTTCACCACATTTTTCACTTCGTCGATTTTTTGAACATTTTGCAGATTTAGCCTTAAAATCCTCAGTATCATAGTGAGGCTTCCAGCTCTCCCAAATAGATTTTGGGATATTTTTTCGTTTCACCTCAGAGGATCTTGCTTCACATAACATGCCCTTGTATTGTATTGAACTTTTTTTTTTCATAAAATGATCCTTTATGGAACCTTCAATTGCAGTATTCCAATGGAATCGCTTCTGTTTAAAAAGATGAAGTAAAATATCACATGAATTGATATAACAAAATTTTTGAATGAATAAATTCATTACAAAATGATAGTAAAATAGAATTTATGGGTAGAATGGGTACATGAATATTATAGTAGAATGAGACACAATCATGTATGAGAAGATGTACCAAAACAAGCATCATGGGTGTTGAAAAAAGATCGGAAAGGGCAGAAGTATATTGAAGAATCTGGGAAGAATGTGGCTGAACTGGGAAGTATAGCCAAGTTCTCTGTTAGGGAATTATATGTGCAGTGTAGAGAAAATTACCAAAAAGTCCCATGAAAGAGGTTAACCCGCAATAACAGTGGTCCGCCTAAATGGACCTTCATTCGGTACTTGGCTATACTGGACAATTATACACCAAAGATAGGATTCTTGGCTGGGGCATTGTTGATCATATGAGTTGTTCAATGTGCGGAGATGCACATGAAACTATAGAGCACTTGTTTTTTCCATAGTCCGTCCCACAGCGTATGGGCTAAGTTTTTAGAGTGGCAGGGAATAACAGCAACTCCTAGGGGATGGAAGGATGAAGTAGACTAGGCAAGTAAGTTAATGAAATCCAAGAGTCCCAAAACAGAAATCTACAGAACTGTCTTGGCTGGTAGTGTATACGATATTTGGATGGAAAGGAATAAACGTGTTTTCAAAGGTACACTAAGACGACCTACAACCATAGTTAGACAAGTTATCCAAACGGTGTTCCAGAAGAGAAATAACAATAGAAAATGGCTACATTGTTAGAAACTTTTTTGTTTGCCAGGTGAACTACTTTGCAGGCTTAAGCAATCTGGATAGTTGTTGTTTGATTCTTCCTAAAACGAGTCAACGAGAATTCAAGTCTAACATATATGTACATAATCTTGTCGCAACTAATATACAAAATGTCATGCTATATATTCTAAACGTGGAAAGGTTTCCGAGGTGTTGGAGATCGATTCTCCAGTGATTGCAATCTTTGTTTTAATTGGAAAACTTCAACCTGCAACTAGAAAGCTCTTGCCCTTTCTCCAGCAAGGACTCCCCCTTTTGTATGCAGTTCCTTCTGTGTATCATCCATAATTACCTTGAGGAAAGCCACATCATGCTCAAGTCTGGCATTATCCACATAAGAGGTAGTAGTACCATTAACTGGCTGAGAAGCAGGCCCAGTGAATGTCAAACGATTCCCAGATAGCAAGTTCCCAGTAGCTTTACTTAAGCTTGATCTGCGACCCATGGACAATTCATTTTTTTTTCCGTAATAAGTACCTCAATCTCATTTGATGGATCTTTCTTGAAACGACCAAAAGCCACAAGAAAATCCCTTTCCTTATGCTGAACAAGGACGAGGCTGAATCCCTTGTTGGTTGTGATAGAAGAAGCTGGTGAAGCAACAGCAACAGACCATTCAAGTTTTAGAACATCAAATATTAAAGTCTCAGCATGTCTTCTTTTCCTGCTACCACCCCCAGCAATATACCATTTAGTTCCACAAAGCACTCCACAACAACCAGCTCTGGGTGAAGGATGGAATCCACATATTTTAGTTCTTGACCATGCCATCGTCTCAAAGTCAAGCATGTATAAGTCATTTAATGTCCTCGACTTTGACGATCCACCAAAAATCAGGAGCAATTTATCATCATAGAGGGAAGACACATGGTTTGATCTTGGTGAAGGACATGTTCCCGTGCAATGAAGTGGAAGCCATGTCAAGGATTTAAGATCAAACATATGCAGATCGTTTAGCTTCCTCCTCTTTGCGTCTTCACCCCCAAATAAAATCAAAACTGAGCTTGCTCTAAGGACAGTATGACCACTACGCGCAACCGGAACATCTCCTTTTGCTTCCAGAAGTGGCCAGCATTCAGTTTCAGTGTCAAACGCCCAGACTGAGACTGTCACTTGAAGGGTCTGTTTTCCCTCCAACCATAAGAATCTTTTTCCCCTATTTAACCAAAGCATGACCCTTGCATGCTGGGATCTATTTTTTGTGATTTCTCTATGGAGTATTTTTCACAAAATTTGTAGTACTGAATGAGACAATCGGTACTACCAATATAATAGTTTGTTCGACCAAAGATGAGGCAACCTAAGTTTTTCTTTTATCTAGTTGTAGGGATCTATTTCCATCAGCTATATTTTTCATATTTTCTTGTTTGAGTTGTACGGTTTTACTTTTGTAATAAAATCAATAGTTACGAAATGAAATGATAGTATTGTTTTACCTTAAACGCCTCCCAGTAGAAGTCCTTAATCTCTGGTGTAACTGACTTCGAATCATGTCCTTCGGGATCCAATTTTTCCTTAAAAGATTTTTTCGATCGCCCGGGATACATTGTTACTCGGCTCCAAACTTGTATAAATATAACAAATAAATATTTCAATACTCAATTTTATTTATGTAAATCAAGCAGTGGCTAGAGTCTATTATCAGTGTCTTTAGCAATAATATAAGAGCTTGAAGAGGTAGAGGAAGTAAGGAAGAAAAATATGGAAGTATTATAAAAAAGACAAGGACTAGATATTAATTATAAAATTCTGCCTTAGTATATCCTAGCTGGGAGGAGCCAATGTTTATCATGAATTCAATACATAGATTCAAATCTAAGCTTAGTCTGAAACAATTTAAAGAAAATTCTCTACTGAAATCTAATGATATACTACAAAATATAAGAAAATATTTGAACATGTCGTGCAAGAGAAAAAGTTCAAGGAACTGCACATGGGGAATTTCATTGCCACATTCTATAAATCTGATTCATTACCACATTGTGTTCCACATTCAACTATGACTTCTTATATAAGAGAAAGGTAGAAATCAGTGAACAAGCTACTTTCTTTGAGAATGAAATTTTTTTATATTGATTTAAAAACACCTCAATTCTGCAATTCACTCCCCATTAATACAATTTAAGAAAACCAACAAAACGTCAAAAGATTTATAGAAAAATAGTAATGAAAGAAAATCAACATTGCTTATTTTCTTGCCTGAAGCAAAACAGTGTAAATGAAATAATGTTGTACACTTACCGTCCCATGATGATTTCAATTGGGATGCGGGTACCATCAGTTGCATTTGACAAAGTTGTGGATACGATGTCATTTCTAGGTGTTTCGATCCCCACAGATGTAGATGATACTGATATGTAGACTGCAACTGAATCTGGCGTAACTGGTGTCGGCAGTTCAGGCAATGATGGTGCTTGATCAGGTGCAACACTTGACATTAGAGGAGATGTCACTGGATCTACTGTCCTTTTTCCAGAATATCTACTTCGTCCACCTCCCCTGGGTGCCATATCTGCAATTTCAGTGTTACCTGTGGATGAAATAAGAACATTATGATAGAATCATGATTTGATGTAATTATAACAAGAATAGGTAATTAGTTGATATATCACTTCAAGAACAAGATGCCTCTGAAAAGTTAAGAAAAGAGGTGTTAATCTAGATAGTAGATTAAAATATAAACACTTTCAGGAATAAAATTATCCCATCACTATTCCAAACATAGATCTAGAATGAGAGTGAGGGATAGTTGTTCAAATAAAACAACTTGGAGAACTATTAAAACCAAATAAGTATCCTGGTAAAAAAGACAAAATATAAAATCAACTTATATACTACGTTTCAGTCACTCTAACTCTTATATTTGAAGAGATTGGAACACTTTGACTCTATTCACTGCCAGTTTCATAGTATGCCTCTTCATTCTCATTTTCATCATCCTGAAACTCTGTCTCATCATCTAAATTATCATCCTCATCTCTTAAGTTCATGAATTCGCCATTTGGATCATTCCGGACAATAGTTTCATTGTCGGACACCACATCAAATCTTAAACCATCTTCATCACATTGAAATGGCTCTGAAACATCTACTTGAGGAGACACTAAAGATGATGGAGGCATATCCACAATACCCCGAGCTTTTGTTTTGCACACAGCCCACCAATCACTCTTATCACGTCGTAAGCTAGGATAAGTAGCATAATACACTTGAGTCGCTTGCATTGCCAAAACAAATGGTTCATACTTCCTCAATTTCTGATGTAGATCAAAGTGACACTACTTCAAGGAGGCCTTTCACAAGGAGTCAAGCTAAGGATCTTCAAGCATTGCAAGCTTTATGGATGAAGATGGAACCTTTGGAAGTAGAGTCTTTCTTCACTATTTAGTTTTTAGTATAAATAGTAGATATTAGGGTTTCATAAAGGGTTTTGGACATGTTATGCCTCTTGTGAGAGTTTGGAAGCCCTTTGTTGAACTTCAACATTTTGTCCTAGAATTTGCAAATAAGATTATTACTTTCTTGAGGATTCTAATAGATTAGGTGCTTTTATTTCTCAATTAAGTGGTGTTTTGGTTAGTTTCACCATTACATCTCTTAGTTGCTTGAATTTAATTGTATCTATCTCTTTTATCTAGTTTTTTTTATTTCTATTTTACTTTTATCTTCTTGTTTCACATCAATTTCTTTCTATGATTGATATACACAAGTTTATATTGTGGGTGAAGTTTCATTCCTACATTTGGTGTGGGGTCAAACCATTCACATTTAAAGAAAGCGGTTCTTTTGATCGGTGTACTGCCCTTGTACTCCAATTCAAGAATTTCAGTAAGCACACCATAGTAGTCATTGTCATTTGCACTGTAGTTAGTTCCTTTCATGGAAACACCACTGTTGTTAGATGCTCTAGAAAAACTGCGACCTTTAGTGTGAAATTTAAAGCCGTTGACAGTATAACCAGTGTATGGCTTCACTGATCGACATGGACCTTCTGCAAGCGCCTTGATGAACTGATTATCTATGTGGACTCGAGCCTGTTAAATTAAAAAAAATTATAGTTTCTTATAAGTGAAGTATAGATGGAAAGATATTGTGCAAGTGCTCACATATCCTGTGAACCATGATGCAAAATCTTCATCAAGTTTCCTATCCACTTCCTGCTCCGTAATTTGTGGAAAATTTTGATGAAGAGAGTCAATAAAGTTACTTTGGATCACATATAAAACAATAATATGTTTTTTTTTGATAATTTTAGTGTATAAATGAAAACAAAAGTTTGAAATCTTACTCAACATATGGCTGCACTTCTCTGCAATTTAGTAAAATATAAATATGAGCTGCTTTAAGTTCTTCTTCGGTAAGATATCTCCAATTTAGTTCCCCAAATCCTCGACCTGGATAGGTGAATATAGAAAGATTACTAGCGTATCCATGTTGTTCACCTATACCACCATCGTCATTCTGTGGCACTTTTCTATGCCTTGTGTAAACATGAGGCTCAAAGTAGTGCGAACAAAATGATGAAACTTCCTCAACTATATGTGCATTGCATATGCATCCTTCAACATGTGCCTTATTTCGAACATTATATTTATATTTTCGGAGATTTCTGAAAAAAGCACAAAAGCTCAAGGAGTTACTAACTCATAATGCTGAAAATAAAGTACTTAAATAACCAAGTTTATTTTGCTGGTTAGGGACAAATGAAAGAAATCGCATATTGAGTGTGTTGTCATATGAAATAGGTGACTTACCATTTAAATACTTAGGAGTTCCTTTTTTTATAGAAAGGATGATAGTTTTGCAATGCAAATCTTTAGTGATAACATTACAACAAAGATCACTAACTGGATGGCTAGAGAACTATCAAATGTTGGGAGGCTTCAGGTAATTAGAGAAGTATTGTTTGGTGTACAAGCACACATGTCACATCTGTTTTTACTACCACAAAAGATTATTAAACTCATCGAACCTGCTTGTAGAAACTTTTTGTGGAAGATCAGACCAAGGTGACTCTTTCTAAAGGTGCAAGAGGCCTGAATATTAACTTACAGGTCTGGAATCAAGCTGCAATATGCAAACTATTGTTGTTATTGAGTCAGAACAAGGAAAAACTATGGATCATTTGGGGCATAAATAGAGTTTGGAGAGTCAATTAAATTTAAATATTTTAAATTGTTAATTATTGAGATTTATAGTACTTTTTTACGTAATTTTTAAATAAGATATGTTATTCTTTTTGTTCCAATTAATGTAACATTAATAGAATTTCGAGAGTCGGACAAATTTTTATATTATTTTAAAATATTTAGTACTAATGAACAATATTGAAAGTGTATTATTATTAGTAAAAATTTAAACTTAGGTAATAAAATGTGAAATATCTAAAATTTAGTATTAGTTTATTTTATTTTACATGAAATAATATTTTTTGCTCAAATATAACCAAAGAAAGCATAAATAACGTATTACTTCATTTTTTTTTAACAATAGAGTGGGTCTGGTTAATTCCTTACATCAACAACTTTTATGCCTTTTTAGGCATTAAAAAAGGTTCAATAATCAGTATATTTACTCAAATGTACCAGTGTATTGTAAGATTGTAAGAAAATGCAAAAGAAGGGAGAAATTAGACTTTCAAAAAGTAGTACAATTTATCAATACAAAGAGACAATGGAATTTTTATTTTTTTTAAAAAAACATTATGAAGTGCTCAACTTTCAAGCAAATTGTACAAACAATATAGCATACTAAAAGACAGAATTATACATTAAAGTAAGGCTGGCAAACGAACCGGTTTTTGTCCGGTCCGGTCCGGTTCCGGTCCGGTTCCCGTACCGATAAGTCCGGTACCGGTTGAACCAGTAAGGAACCGGTTTTATAGGTACCGGAACCGGTACCGAAACGGAACCCGGATTTTGATCCGGTTCGGTAAGAACCGGTTCCGGTCCGGTTCAACGGTCAATTTAATTATTTTTTTATTTTTTATTTTATAAATGTTGACGTTATAGAGCCGTTGGGCCCTTTTAGCCGTTGGGCTGGGGCCCAAAACGGCTCCAAACAGCCCCCCACCCCTCTCTACCCCTTAACACTATAAATATACCCATATTTTTTCATTTAAATCACAAATTCACAATTTTTTATTTGTTTTTTAATTAAGTTATTTTATTTTTTTGTTATATTATCTTTGCTTGTTTTTCATAATATTAATTATTTTAAACTTGAACATGAATTTTGAAAAATATAGTGGTAAAAGACCAATGTCGGAAAGAAAAAATAATAGGGGAGGAGGAAGTAGTTCTAATTCTAAAAATTTGCCACCTCCTAGATTTAGAATTAATACTAATGATTATACTCATGTTGATGAAACTTCTTTTACACGAGACTCACGACCTATTGAATTTAATTCCGAAAATGAAGTAGATCATGAAACTTTAAATAGATGTTTTACTAATTTTGAGGAAGAATTAGATGAGGAAGTAGAAATAAATGAGGAAGATGATGAGACCCCTACCCCTACTAGTCCGGCTACCGAATTACCGGAACAAGATGAAGTCCCCTCTTTACCTACTTTTTCAAAGACCGTTGTACGTGTTAAAAGATCTTTAGTATGGAAATTTTTGGTACAAAATGAGGAAAAAACTACTGTTACTTGCACGAAATGTAAATTGATCATGAAACATGTAACTACGGGTACACAAGGGGGAACGGGACGACTAAGAACACATTTGAGAAAGTGTAATAAAGAATTTGCTCGCCTAGATGATATAGAAAGGGCTAATAGAAATGGAATACCCATACCTGAAAATTCTATGGGAGTTGGAGGTTCTAATATGGTTCAAAGTGTATTAAATATGACTAACCCGGCTAGCCGAAGCACACACCGCACATATAGTAAAGAAAAAGATCGTAGAGAATTAGCTAAAATGGTTGCTGTTTGTGGTTTGCCTTTTTCATTTCCTTCACATCCTGGTTTTATTCAGTATATTCGGGAATTGTATAACCCAGATTATGAAGGTATTCCAAGAAGTACAATTAAAAGTGATCTTTTTAAATATCAAAAAGAATATTGTCATTTTCTTCGTTGTTTATTTGCTTATTATGATGGTAGATTATCTATTACTTCTGATATGGGACGTAGTCCTAATGGTAATGATTATTTTACAATTACTGTCCATTGGATTGACCATGAATGGAACATGCAAAAACGAATATTAGGATATAAATATGTTGAAGAAACTAAAACCGGTGCTTATATAGCAACAAAAATAGGCTTAATTTTACAATTTTATGGAATATGTGATAAAATAATGAGTGTCACTTTAGATAATGCTTCTAATAATTTGAAAGCAATTGATTATTTAAAATGTAGACTTTGTCCAATTGATAATGATTCTTTTCATATTAAGTGTGCCGCACATGTGTATAATTTGATAGTAAAGGATGGTGTTTCTCAATTTGGAATTTCTTGTGAAAAAATTAGACTTGCTTGTAATTGGATTTTTAAAGCTAAAATAAAAGCTAGAATTACAGAATTTAAAAATCGTTGTAAAGAATGTGGACTTGAATATAGAAAAGTTCCAAAAGAAGTATGCACTAGATGGAATTCTTTATTTGAAATGCTTCAAGTTGCTTATATTTATCAAGAGCTGGTACAATTAGTTTTTAATGCTCATAATGCGGACCCGAATTTGAGAATTGGCTATGAAGATTGGGGAAATACAAAAGAACTTATTGAATTTTTAAGTGTTTTTTATAAAGCAACAAATGCTGCTTCTGGTCAATATTATCCAACTATTTCTTCTGTTTTAGTAAATATTTGTGCTATTTCATCTGAATTTGCAAAATATAAAGGAAAAGATCGATTTGAAAATTCCCTTGCTTTTATGATTGAAAAATTCAAAAAATATTTTTTCCTTATTCCTCAATTTTATTTGACTGCTACTACTTTTAACCCAAATTAGAAATGTAAAGGTATTGAAAGAATGGTTGAAAAGATTTATGCAAATTTAGAAATTAAAGATGATGAAACTCCTAGTGTTGAAGATTGTAGAAGTAGCATATATATAAAAGCTAGAGAGTTATATAATACATATAAATCTATGGAAAAAAATATTCCAATAGTTGAACCTCCATCTTGTAAACCTAGAAGCGATGATACGGATGATTGGATGGATGATTATCTTGAGCTTGAATCATCTACTAATAATGATTTTGATTTATATTTCAATCAGGCACGGGAAAAGATTAGGCATGAAGAAGGACAACTTCAAGCTCCAATATTAGTATGGTGGAAGAATCGTGAAAATCAATTTCCGACCCTTGCTAGGATTGTACGAGATGTGCTAGCGATTCAAGCATCATCGGTGGCTTCGGAGCAAGCCTTTAGTGCGGCGAGATTTATGATTGGAGATCATCGATATTCATTAGCAAAGGATAGTTTGGAAATATCGGTGTTGTTTCGAGATTGGGTCAATGCCGAAAGAAGAAATACCGGACTACCACAATTAAATAGCCAAATAGAAGACGAAATAGATGAAATATTTGGTGATAATAGTGATGATGATATGGAAG